ACCCCTGCACCTCCTAATCTAGATTATAGGCACACGAAGAGGATCCTGAACCACCGCCTCAAACCCGGAAAATCCGTCACTAAGTCCACCCCCGGTAGTCCCGACAGATCTCCTTTGAAATGTACTTCAACGATATAAAGATCAAAGAAAGAGAAATCCACTGCAAGTTTGACAAGAGAAAGGGCAACTCCCCCAGAATCCAACTGACTGAGGAAAGCAGCGCGGGGTTCTGTAGCCCGAGCATCACCAGGGAGCCTTGGACCCCTCCACAATATTAGGACACTCCTTCCTCCTTCAGGGCACTGGGCCTGAGGCATTGAAAAGTCCTCATTGAAACTGGGGACCACAAGAACAGATTTAAACCCAAGAGAGCCACTTCTAGCTTATCGGATGGCCCAAGAGATGAAGTAACTGGAGATGCTGGCAAGGGGTCTGAGGTCCTGGCACCGCTCTCCTGGCCACCCTCCGCATCTCCCAGAATCCCGGTGTCAGCTGGAGATGGCACCAGCTGTGGAGAGCCCTTCACCAGAGCACCTTCTCTTTGGATTTGGAGAGGGTAGGTAGGCGATAGAACAAAGGAGAGTGCAAAAACACACAGAGTATAAAATATACATATTGTCATGAGCAAAACCCTTAATTTAGGTTAAGAAGGGAAAAAACTGAACAGATGAATTAAAAACTAGATGCTAATAGAAGATCAAAGATTGATGAAGAGGGCTAAAATAATTGGTTACCCTTTCCTTGGCCCCCAGAGAGTACAGAGAAGTCATTGATTAATTTTTTAAATGGTTTTCAATGGGAATCACCAGACCACCCCCTTCTGAATTTCTTGGTGTTCTATTCTAAGCCAACAGCAATTTTCTGAATTAAATTTCTCCAGAGGCGGGAGGAAGACAAGAGAGCCTGGCAGAAAGCACCACCAAATCCTTCACCCCATAGTTATCAAGTTGTGGCCAGTATACTGTTGCCAGACACCGAAGAAATGGTTCCTCGCCAGGAGTTTAATTCTAGACTTGCTTCAAGCATCAGAAACACTGGTGAGTTACCTTCTGAAACTCTGGCCAAGGAGCCAGCCTCTTACTGGAACTTGGCTGGGGGGGGGGGGGGGGATCTGCCCTGACACCCAGGCTTGCTGTTTATGTGGTCAACAAATGGGAAGTGAACATTCAATGTCTCAGAGGGGCTCTCGAAACATTTCTTTGGAATGGCCCAGAAAACTGGGACGGGGCCATATGTTAGCCCTCTATTACTCACAAAGAAAACTAAAGCAGGAGCTCTGAGGCTGAAGGAAGTTTTCAGAAAAGCTTGTGTGGCCAGCATTTGGAGGAATGGACTTATTTTCATTCTCTTTTCTAAGTTTAATGGGGTCACCTGGTAAGCTCTAGCCCATCCAGCATGGGAAAGATTTTACCTGCCCAATCACCACCACCACCACCACCCCGATATTTACAAAATAAGCAGTCTGAAATCCTGGTTTCCACACTGAAAATATTACCAGCAACAAGCATCTAGTCAATAGTCTTATTTCCCTTTTTCTTAAATATATACATGTATGTAATTTTGTGATGATGATTGACATTATTTTTTTAAGTTCCCTGCAGCTACTCAAAATCTAACCAGTTGCCAATAAGCCCTCCCCTCGAACTTCTTGGCTGTCATAAAGAATTGTGCAGCATACTGTAATACACTTGATCAACCAAGTGGTTTCAAGGAACTTCTCCTTGGGTTTGAATTGTTTCATTCCCCCACAGTGCACCTGATGGGTGCCAGGCATTCTGCTGAGCACTGGAAGGGGGAAGGGAAGAGAGAGAGAGACAACATGACAAAAAGCTATCTCAGCAGTTGGCAATCTGTTTAGTCTCTCTCTCTCTCTCTCTCTCTCTCTCCCTCTCATTTTAATCTGGCCTAAGGGAAGCCACCCCTTTCCTTAATAGAGGAAAAATTTCCAAAAAATCAAGTAAGGATAAAATGTTTCTGAGAAATCACTGTAATTCAGTCAACTATAGGAAAACCATGGTTAAATATAATAGCATGAATAGCCAAGAAAGATTAGGGAGATTTTCAAACCAAAGCAAGTCCTGCACACATATTAACTCAACATAGATAATGCTTGTCTAGATCTTTTCTTTGACTTCTCCTTTAGGGACCAACACTGAACCAGCCCCCCTTTTCACAAAGGGAATAGGGGAGTTTTGCTCACCTGATCCCGGCCCTCTTCAGGTAGCCTCTAGGCCAGTGATGGCGAACTCATTTTTTTGGTTGATTTTTCTTTGTTAAATGGCATTTAAATATATAAAATAAATATCAAAAATATAAGTCTTTGTTTTACTGTGGTTGCAAATATCAAAAAATTTCTATATGTGACACGGCACCAGAGTTAAGTTAGGGTTTTTCAAAATGCTGACAGGCCGAGCTCAAAAGGTTCGCCATCACTGATCTAGGCCCTAGAGTCTAGGGGCTCAGCCAGAGCTTCCTGTGAAGAAGGGTTTCCAGGATCAAGTCCCTAATTAGATACACAAAGAAAAAACCATGAACAATTTGTGCACTTGGTGGTATTTACTTCTTTCTTTTAACAAACTGCCTTTTGGGAAAAGACTTGTCATATGGACAAGTCAATAATTTCCAAGGGATTAAAATATGGGGGTATGGGGAGACAATAGTTTAGCTCAAAAGCTGCCTGCTACGTTAACCCATTGTCTGGTTTCATACGAGACCCACACATTCTATGCTATGACAAAAAAAGAACAGAAACAATAAGGAAACAAGAATGCAGCTTTCCACTAACATATTGTGATCCACTAGGCAGAAAATATACTTTATGCTTGTTTCTCTGGATAGATAAATGTAGATAAAAGTTTAAATAGAGTAATTTTGTTTTCTGAGTTTCTTTATGTCAGTGTATTTTCCCCAAAGATCTTTTTTCTCTCTGGGGGCCTTAAATTCCTAAATGTTCACTGGGCAAGTAGATGCTAAATCCATTGAAGTAGATCCCCAATTCCAAGGCCTCCATAGGCATTGTTTGGACAAGATAGGAGTGTCTCTGGTGACCAAATCAGCCAGATTAACCAATTCCAGGACATGACCACTTTCAAGGAAGTCAGGCTGACTGACTGTACCCACCAGTCTTGACCTACCTGGATCATGATGTCCTGGCGGTGGCAGGAACCTAGGCAAAGAGATGGACCTGCTCATGCCTTAGCTGGTGGGAAGTTCCCCCACGGGTGGCCCTGCCCAAGCTTTTGCCTAGCCTAGGCCCTAGGGGAACCAGTCACCTCTGCTACTCCATCCCAGCCCTGATGTCGCCTGGGGTCTGGGAGCATTTTCAGTAGAAACACCTCTGGTGGGCTCTGACCGGGTATCCCAGCAAAGGGAAGTACAATTTGAGTTTGGACCAGTGCAGGCCACACACACTTTATTCCATATCCGGGCCCAGATACCCAGGCTTTGAGAGGCAGGCTCCCATTGTGACCACCTTTCGCCCGGGGCTGAGGCTTGGCGCTGACCCGGTCGTAACTGCCAAGAGCCTGACAATGGGCACATCTGTCCTTTCTCTGAGGGATGAAAGCACCTAAGCGGACACGGCTCTGCCTTTTGTTGCAGATTTTTTTTTCTTTCCTTTGTAAATGAAAGAAAGCCGCGGCATGTGGCGGCCGGGTGTACATCCCACACTGGGGGCCGCCCCACGCGTCCCCACCAGGCCCAAGGACCAAGTTCGATTCCAGATTGGAGCGTGATTGTGAGAAGCGGACAATTACGCCCGAAGCTGAATTGATTTTCAAATCTGGAGGCTTCTCACGCGGACGCCGGGAAGAGGGCGTCCCTGCGGGCCCAGCAGAGACCGGAGCGCCTGGTCCACCCTGCGGGTGTCAGTCCTTCCCGCGAGCAGTGGCTTCTGGGCGCTTTACCAGGAGGGCCGAGAAGAAGTCACAGGAACGGCCTGCGCCTCGGCGGCCACCAGCACCCAAAGGTTAACCTGGGAACCCAGCAGGGCACTCCCCCCAGCAGGGCACTCCCCGCCCCCAACACACACACACACACACACACACACACGACTTCGGAAGCAGACGCGCCGACTTAATTGTCAGCCGAGCCAGAGGAGGAACCAGCCGGCAGGAGACAGCCAGGTATGGGCCGGGCTGGGACTCTTGGCACCGAGCGCTCCTCTCCCACATCGTGGAAGAGGAGAGAGGGGTGGGCAGAGGAGTATCAAGGAGGTCCGAGCTTTCTGGGTCAACAGCCACAGAGCTGACCGAAGCCTTTAAGCTATTTGTTCCCTGCGGATGGGGAAAACGTGGACTCCCCGAAGCCCTCCGGAAAATAAAGCTTAGTGGGCCAGGGTGGTGGGAGTGGTGGCAGCCTCAGCATCCCGGGCAAACTGCGCCGGGAGGCAGCAGCTGGAGAGAGCGCCGACGGCTCTTCAGCGCACCACCCGGGAGGAAAGCCCAGCCAGCGCAGCCGGGGCTGGGAGGAGAGCGCCCCCGGCTCCCAGCCTGGGAGCCGAGAGGGACGCGAGTCCCCCGGGGTTGTGGGCGGCGGCCTCAAGTTCGCTCTGTGTCACTGGGGACTTCCCACGTGCGCGCCGCAAAATCCGGCCACT